GGTACTTCAGCAATGCAGCTGGGCGTCTGGATGGGCAGGAAGGGCAGGGGCGCTCCAGCGGAGAACAAAGACGAAGACGGGTGGGCGTGTGAGGTGTGCAGAAGAGGAGCGAGAGAGCGGACCCATCAAGGTGAAGCAGCACCAGAAACACCCCTGGGTTAGGGCCGGCTGCCACCCTCACTTCCCAGAAGGGGGCAGCAGTCCGAGGGGATGCCCACCTCCTGCGGGCCCTCCCCCGACCCACGCCCCAACTCTGGCTGGACCACAGCACTCTGGTTAAACCTTCAACGGCTGCGCACTGTTCTCAGCCTAATGTCTGAATTCCTTCCAGTAACTTAAGGAGAGGTCTCTGTGGTCTCTCCCGCATCATCAGTGTGCTCTGGGAGCCTGCACATCCCCCTCGCCCTACGTGCACCTCCCTTACTGAATAACTGGAGCCTCTCTCTCATCCAGGATTCTCAAACACAGTTTGGTCTGCCTAAAGCACCGCCCCTCCCCCCCCCCCCCCCCCCCCCCCCCCCCTACAGCCCGGCACACCCCTCATTCTTTAGAGCTCCATTTAGGCGGGTGTCTGCCAGGCGCGTGGGTGGCTCAGTTGGTTGAGTGTCTGACTCTTGATCTTGGCTCAGGTCTCCTCTTGCAGTCTGTGGGATTGAGCCCCCTGTCAGGCTCTTGCAGACAGCATAGAGTCTGCTTGGGATTTTCTCTCTGCCCCTCTCCTGCTTGTACGCTCGCTCATGCTCTCTCTCTCTCTCTCTCATAAATAATTACTTGGAAAAAAAAAGAATTTTTAAGAAGTTAAAAAATTTTTTAAATGGGTGTCTGCCTACCAAGGAGACTCTGACTCCCCAGCCCTCATCCCTAACTAGATGGACGGGAACAGAGTCTAGAGCACTCTGATGGCACGGAAGAACTTGGACTTGACATAATGGGTGCTTAGACTTCTTATAAATGATATGGTGAATAGGATATCCTAAAAAAAAAATCTGACAATACTGCCCTTAAAAATACTCCGTGCTGTCATAGGCAAAAGGTGACTCTACCAGGAAGAGGCAGACATCTGTGGATGTACATTCCTCTTCTGTCAGGGTAATATCCCCCGATTTTCCCAGGGGGGACCACCCCAGTCTCATTCTCCGTCCACTAGCTCGGGGGGAGCTGAGGCCACCCCAGCTCCAGGCAAGGGCCAAGTAGAGCACCCCCTGTCTCTGGCCACAGGGACTGGGTCAGGGACTGTCATGAGCCCCCAGGCTGGCCCAACCATACCCCTTCTGGACTTCTGCTGGCAATAGTTAGAAAAGATGCTCCCTTTTCCCCACGGACTGCTGTGGGAAGAGCCTGGAGCCCGCTAACAATGGCACCAACGTGCAAGAAATGCGGAGACAAGCACTGGGAAGAGACGGATTCTGCCAGCTTCGTGTGAGCACGTGGACTCAGCCACACCGCAGCCGGCGACTGGAGCTGTTCCATTTGGGCCACACGGTGATCCTAGCTGGGTTCCTGTCACTCGCCACCAAGAACATTGACCCCCACGCAAAGGCGATCAGGGTGCAGGCAATGGAACAGCACGCCACCTCAGTCCTGCCACAAGAGTACATGGCCTGGTGGAGCCGGCTGCAGGCGATCGTGCAGCAGCAGCCATGCAAGTGCATCAGCAAAGACTGTGCTCGCTGGTGGGCATACGCCAGTCGTCTGGGCAGCAACCCACCCGTGGCATGTAGTGCATCACCTCTTCCTATCTCTGCCTCAACGAAATCACTAACTCAGTTCGGTAGACAAACACCACAGGCACACAGTTTTCCATTATATAGGAAAAGCAAAGCCCTAAAAGGTGACTCCTTTCCAGGGTGAAAGCGGAGAACATTAGGAAGAACAATGTGGTTCAAAAGCAACTCCAGCTCTCTCTGTACCAGCTTTTCGGTTTTTCTTTACATCACAAACCATTCTTAAAAATAAAGTCTAGTTTGAAAAGGGAGCAAGTTCCTAGGTGCTCTGAGTTTCAAAAAAAAAAAAAAGTTTGGTTTTTTTTTTTTCCAATCCTAAATTCTTTTATTTATTTTCATCTTTTCTCTCCACCCACACTGCCCTAGGTCAGGCCACGAGTATGTTAGGAACCGTCACTTGTCGCTGGCAGGGTGACCGATTTGTATCGAGTGCCCAGGACTTTCCCAGTTTTAGTACTGAAAGTCCCATGTCCTCGGTCCCAGGCACTCGGAGTGGCTGGTCACCCCTTGCGTCAGGTGAAGCGCAAGCCCCATTCTACCTCCAGCCTCACTTCCTACAACCACCAGCACCACCTTGGTTGGCACAAACCCCGGGGTCCCCCTCCCACGCCCCGTGTCCCCCCAGGGTGGCTCCTGCTTGTCCCTGAAGACTCTGCTCTGGTGCTGCCTCCCTCAGAAGGCTTCCGAGGGTTCCCACAGGACCCTGGAGCTACAGAGATCCTGCCACTGGTCAGGCTGTATAGTCACTGGCACTACAGCCATCTCCCCCACTGGCCTGGGAACTCCCTCAGGGAATGAGCTGTTCTGTACCTAAGGCCCTAGATGTTTACCATCAGAGCCAAGTGAAAAACATCACGAGCACTGGGGTGAGGACTAGCTGTTGGCAGCACTCTTTTCCAAGTCATTTTGGGATCTACTAAGGCCCACACCTATATGCAAATCGCCAGGCTCCTTGGACTATAATACGGATTAAGCTGATCTGCCTGATCCAGGACAGGCAGCTCGGGTTTCCAAGAGCACCTGATGGCCTTTTAACCTAAACGATGAACCTGGGCAGTGCCCAGATACTTAAAAGGAATCAAGAACCTTTACCATCCCCTGGCTGGTCAGAGAGTAATGATGCGGCGTTGGGCACAGAGATTCGGCCAAGTTGCGAGTCTTCACAAACTGACTTAGGAGGAAGTTTCATTCACAAAGACAGGGCAGTGGGTGCAGGTACAGGGCCGATCCTGGCTTCAACCCGTTTGGGCTCTTATCACCTTGGGGCAAATGAACCTCTTGAAATCCAGTTCAAGGTCCTGCTAGCCTCTCTGAACCTTAGTTTCCACTTCTATAAAATGGAAAACAGGAACAGTTCCTATAGCTCACAGACTTGTGAGGACTCGGGAATAGCACACAGGAAGTCCTGAGCAAGGACCTGGCGCAGAAAATGCGCTCGATAATTATTCAGATACTTGACCAGGACCAGAGTCAGGCAGAGCTAGGTGAAAGCCTGCAGGTGCCTGGATGCCAGCACGAGGCCCAACCTCTTTTAGAAATGCATCCTCCCCCTTCTCAGCCACATCCACCCACTCCTAAATTCCTGAAATCCTTCCGCCTCTCCCTTTCCAGCCCAGCTGCCCTCTTGTTTAAGATTCCTGGCTTCCCTACACCCCCTATCCTGGCTATGTCTCTCTCTTTCCTCCCTGTGTCATCTCTCATCATCACCCCCCCCCCAAAACCATTCCTTACTACATCCTGATCCCTGCTACTCTTTGAGATCCACACACGTTTATTAAACGCCTGCTCTGTGCTAGAAAGGACATAGCTGAGAAGCAAAGCACCCCCACCTCTGGCCAAATGAGAAGCCCCATCTAATTTCCCTCCCACTAATCCTTGCCCTGGGTCCCTGACTTCCTGCTACTGCTCCCTGCCTGCCCCCCTCCATCCTTCTTCCCTCCCATTAGTAATCTTGGGAGCTCGCTCTGGAAACGAGTCTACTTCTTACCACCAAAGGTTTGCCTTCTTCCCACTCAACTGCCACCCCACACACTACATTTTCCTCCCTGGAGTCATTCCCTCCACAAAAGTCTCTACTTTCCATCACCCCCTCCAAACCCCCCCTCCCATTCCAGGTCTGTCTACATGCTCTGCACCTGTCCCCAATTCATTCTCTTTTTTTTTTTTTCATTCTCTCCATAGCCACTGAGCTCCTACTGTGTGCCAGGCACGGCGCTAGATGCTGAGAATACAGCTGTGAGCAAAACATGCAGTCTGTTCTCTCCTGGAAGTACCGGTTTAAGAGCAGACAGAAAAGGAGCGAAAACACACAGGATGAATGCAGGCAGTGGAAGGAGGCACTGAATGAAATCAAGAGAAAGAGCAGATGGAAAGGAAAGGAGGTGGGGAAGCACTTCAGGTGGGGTGGTCTGGGAAGGGTCTCCCTCGCTGATGAACGTGGCTACAGCCACCTACTGTGTGGCTGACACCGATCAGTTTCTTTCCACGCCTGATGTTATCGGATCCTTGCACAAGGTTCACCATCCCCATTTGCAGATGGGGCACCAGAGGCTCAAGGAGGCGAAGTAATCTGTCCGAGGTCACACAGTAGGATCGGGATTTGAATGCAGGTCTGATGCACTCCTGCCTCCCAGGACCACGTCTGCCACCTGTCCTCCCCCAAAGCTCTACTTCTGATAGTCCTCTTCTTAGTCTCCCCCGGGGGGGGGGGGGGGGGATGTTTTCATTGCTGCCGTTCAGTGAACACTCCTACCTGCTTCCAGTTTGTGTGCATTCTCTTATCCTGCTCTCAAAACGACACTAAGAAGCAGGTGGTGTCACTATATCCATTTTACAACTGAGGAAACTGAGGCCTAAAAATTCACACACTTAAAATTCAAACTCCTGGGTCCATATCTCTGACTCCTACGCTGTCCTGCCCAAAGAAGTTCCACGCCGGTAAGCTCGGTGCCCACCGCTGCCCCACGGCAACAACGAAGTCTGCGTTCACAAACCGAAACCTCATTCCCTTACTTTACAGACGGGGGTACTGAGACTCTGAGAAGCCAAACCACTTGCCCAAGGTCACACAGCGAGGAGCGACGGTGTCAGGGTTCGAACCCCAAGCGCCCTGACTCCAGAGCCCTCGCTCTTAACCACCATACAGTCTTTCCCGGGCGTCTCTCCGCGCCCTCCACCTCGCTCTCACACCTCGCAGACGACCCGGCCCGGGGCTAGGCGCCCCCATTCCCACGTCCAGCCCCGCGGCCTGCCCCCCTCCACCCCCAGCACACTCACTTGAGGTGGTCCAAGGAGTGGATGTTGCGGGAAGACTTGCCGTGGCCTCCGCCCACCCAGCTCCGCGAGCGGCCAAACATGTCGGCGGCCCCGACCCGCTGCCCGCCTCACGGTCTCATGCCCGAGCGCCCGCCGCGGCAGCACAAGCGGAGGAGGCAGCGGCGGAGGTGGTAGAAGGACCGCCAAACACCTTCCTCCCCGGCCCACAGCTCCGCACTGACATTCAGCCGGAACCGGCCGTTCGACCGCCGCGCTTTACGGCCGCCGCCACGAGGAACGCTGGGAAATGCAGTCCTCCCGCGAGGCCCCCGCCGAGAGGACTCTGCAAACAAACTACAAGGCCCGGCGTGCATCACGCAACGACGGACCTGCGCCCTTGGAGAAGAGGCGGAGCGAGAGGAAGAGAGCCCGCAGTATAGTACGGTGGGCGGGGACGGGAAAACTGCGCGGAGCCTTGAGGAGCGAATCGGTGAAGCTGGGTGACTCAAAGTAACCGCAGTTCTGACAATTATCAGCTTTTATGATAAGAATAGCTATTGCAGGATATATACTATGTGCCAATGTCCTAAGCGCTTTACATATGTTGTTACTTAATTCTACCAACCAGCCTGTGAGGCGGGTCCTGTTATCCCCATGTCCCACCCACCCCCGGGGAAACCGAATCACAAGTTTCAGGGGTTGACTTACCTAAGGTCATGATTCAAACCCTGGCACCCTTATTTTATGCCCCAATAAACTACTAATCTGTAACAAATTGGTAATGGCCTTGATTGTTCTTAACGGTTTTTTTCTGTCCCCACATGAGCCAACAAGTTGTATCTAAATTTCTGTCTTGGAGTAGGAGTGAGAAGCTCCCTGGAGGCAAGACTGCCATGGTCACCATTCATTCATTCATTTCTACACCACACAGTTATCTACAGTGTACTGTGTCCCCTTAACTGTGTTCAGACATGGGCTAAGGGCCGATGTTCTCCCCATTTCCTAGCACAAAGTTTTGCACATCACAGGTGCTCAACAAATATTGGCAGCGTGGGGTACCTGGTGGCTCAGTGGGTTGAGCGTCTGACTTTTGGTTTCCATTCAGGTTATGATCTTGAGGGTGAGATCGAGCTTGGGATTCTCTCTGCCCCTCCCCTGCTTATGCTTTCTTTCCCTCTCAAAATAAAAAACAATAAAAATATTGGCAGAGTGAATGAATGACTGCATTAAGGTTTCACCTTCAGCAGTTGGAGTATTAATGGTTTTCTCTGTAATTCATCTAAAGGGGCAAGAAGACAGCCATGGAGAAAAAAGGGCAGGTCCGTTCTCCGAAGGCATGCAGACCTCGCATCTTTCTGGGCCCTCCCTTTTCTCTGGGCCTAGATTTCCTCATGTGTAGAAAGGGTAACGTGCTACACTACCCCATCTAGCTACAATTAAGCAATGTATATAAAGCACCCAGCTCAATGCGGCCTGAGATTTAAAGGTCTGTTGAACTGCTCTGAAGATCGCTTTGGGCAAGATCAGTCTCCTGAAGGATATACAGGGGTTCCTCATGAGCAGGGGAATCAGTGAGTAGGAGACTCACTTTCCTATGTACTTCTTGGTTGTTTTAATGTTTAACCGCGTACTATTTTTTTAAATATTGATAGAGAGCAGAGAAAGAGCGAGAAAGGGGCAGAGAATGGGAGGCAGTGAATCCCAAGCAGGCTCCGCACTGTCATCACAGAGTCCGATGCAGGGATTTCTCTCACCAACTGTGAGATCATGACCTGAGCTGAAATCAAGTGTCAAGAGTCAGACGCTTAATCTACTGAGCCACCCAGGCGCCCCTAACACGGGTTGTTTTTAAACATGGTTTACAAAGTAAAAACAAGAAGCACCTCCACTGCTGCAGGTCTGTCCTGCCTGGGACTCTCTTCAGTCAGGTGTCCCTGAACCCTAATATGTAGACCCCCGCGATGCACGGACCCTCTCGCAGGCAGAATTTGGAGAGCTCAAGGAGGCACTGATTGATCTTCCCCGCCTCGGAAAATCGCCGCTTTGGGAAGTCGGAGATTTTTCACTGGTAAATTCACCGTCCCCCTACCCTGCCTCCTTTTGGAAAGTAAACTGAGTCCCAAAGAGGCGTGACGCCACACCCAAATCTAGGGGATTGCTGAGGAAGCGGTTTCCTCCAGCTTTCGTAGCCTTCAGGATACATGCAGGTTTGAACAGTGTTCTCTTTCCCCTCCCGCTACTCCGTGGGGAATTCGCAGAGCGAATTGGATTTGAGACCTGGGCGGAACCCGGAACCAGGAAAGCAAGTCAGAGGCCAGCGCCCCGAGGGGCGGGGCGAAGCGGTACCGCCCCCTGAGGTCTCGGGCCAATGAACGCGGGCGTCGAGCCGGCCAATGAGCTCGGGCAGGGGGCGGCTGGCCAATGAGCGCGGGGCCGCTCCGGAGGCGGTGCTCGGAACGCTACCAGGAGGGCGACGCGGCGGCCGCAGCCATGGGCGCTGAGCCTGTGGGGGCGCACAGGGGGCGCGAGGCTCTGCCGGGCGGAGCTGACGCGACAGCCGCCGGGACTGGCCCTCGGCGCTGAGCCGCGGTGGGGTTCCCGCTTGCGCTGCGAGGGCCCTTGAGCGCGAGCGGGGCGCGTCGGAGGAGCCGGGCAGCCGCCGGCCGCCGGCCGCCTCGGGGGGGGGGCCCGCCTGGCCGCCTGGAGGATCGAGAGGGTCGTGTGGGCACATCTGAGGGTGCGTGGACCCCGCCGGGCACTTTTCAGGGGCCAGGGAGCGTCCGCAGGGGCCGCCGCACACCGGCGGGGGTCGAGCCCCCGGGGCGTCCCTGGATGGCTGAGCTGCCCCCTTGTCGGCCGCCCGGGCGCCGCAGCGGCTGAGAGCGCTGGGATCGCCGGGCCGCCGCCGCCCTCGCCGCCCCCTGCATGCCCGGCGCCCGGGTCGCGGCCCACCTGGACGCGCTGGGCCCCCTGGTCCCCTACGTGCCGCCGTCGCTGCTGCCCTCTATGTTCTACGTGGGCCTGTTCTTCGTCAATGTGCTGATCCTGTACTACGCCTTCCTCATGGAGTACATTGTGCTCAACGTGGGCCTCGTCTTCCTGCCCGAGGACATGGACCAGGCACTCGTGGACCTCGGCGTGCTCTCCGACCCCGGCTCGGGTCTCTACGATGCCGACTCGGAGCTCGATGTCTTCGACGGTTACTTGGAGTAGCCTTGGCTCCCGACCTCCCCTCCCCCCCCTCCAACGACCCGCAACCCTCGGCCTGGACCTGCCTCCCAAATCATGCCGCCGCTGCTGATTGGGGGCATCGTGTGGCCAGGGATGGGACCCCCCAGGACGAGGCCCTCGCTGGCCTCCAAGACCTGTAAGTGCCCTCTCTGCGCCAGATGAGGATGGGTTGGGGCGCTGGCGAAGAAGAGGGTGGCATCTCCAGACCGAACAGACACCCTGCCCCCAGGCTTCTGACTCCTCCCTCCACCTCCTGGAGGTCTGTTTAGATGCCAGGAATGGCCAGCCCCCTTTTGGGCCCTTGACTGGGGCTGGAAAGCTTTCCCTGGTGAAGGTGACAGTCGTTGAGGGCAAGGGAGGCCGAGCTTGAGTGGTGCCTGGGTTAGCCACGGTGCCTACCGCCACAGCTTGTGGAAAAGCCTGTGCACCCAGATCCCTTTGAGGCAGATCTCTCAGCTCCTCCCCTCTGTCTCAATCTGGCTTGATGGTGACCTTGGCTTTTTGGGAGTTCCCATAGTCCCAGAAGCATAAAGACTTGCAGTGTCAGAAGAGGTGGCAAGCCAGGCACGACCGCCTTTGTCCCGTGGCCCCTTTGGGAATCGGGTGGGGACTTGAGAGCAAGGGCTCAGAGCTGAAACCTCCAGCAAAGTCTGCGCTTCCTCTTGGCCTCAGGTTTGCTGCTATGTGGGAGTCGGGTTTCAGGGTGCTCCAGCCGGGCAGTACTCCAGCTTGCATCTGCAAGGGCCGCCAGTTTTGCAGATTGCTTTTGCAGACTGGCAAGCTGGGGCTGGCGTCGCCTGCGGTGTCTGCAAGACCTCGAGCAGGAGTAGGGACCACAGGATCTTTGCACTGAGGGGTTCAAGTCCTGCCGCTGGGCCGCGACCAGGAAGCTGCATGTCCTGTCCCACCTTGTGTGTTGATGGGAGGGAAATGAAGGTCCAGGAAGGAGAAGGGCTTGGCCAAAGCCTCACAGCCAGGAAGAGAGGCGACTGGATAAGATGAGAGGGGGAGAGAGAGGAGCAGGCAATCTGCTGGGTCTGGTGAGGGTCCGTGGGATGTGCGGCCACTCTGTGGCTGAGCCCCTTGGCTGTGAGCGTCACTGAAGGGAAGATATCAAGGTAGCAAGAGCTCCTTTTAGAAAACAGACACTAGTGCCACTCACCCCAAGCAAGCTGAGTTAACTGTCCCCATCTCTGTTGCCGGTCTTTACCAAGATGACCATAGTCAGAGGGAATGCCGGGTGGGGCAGGACCTGCTGGTGGCAGTGCTGAGGGCTGGGGGCTCCCCTGAGGGGAGGACAGTGAGATTTCTTTGATAAAAGCTTCATTTGAGCTCAGTATGACCTTAAGAACCAAGTGCCAAGTGCCGGGCAGAGGGTGTGTTAGCCTCTCTTACATACCTCCCCAGCCTGCCTACCTACTTGCCTGCCATCCATCCATCCATCCATCAATCTGTTCTTTGATCGAAGAAATATTTCCTGAGTAATACTGTGTCCCGTGGGTGAACACAGTGAACAAGAGAGACGTAGCCCTGGCCCTCCCAGCACACGGTGAGAAGACAAGCAGATTCCCAAACAAGATCATCAGATTTTTTTGAGAGCCGTTAAGACCTATAGGAAGGACCTGGGCCATCCCTGTTGAGTTCAGCGCTTAGAACAGGTGCCTGGCATCTGTTGAGTGAGTGTAGCAGAATAGAGAGAGGGCAGGGGGAGTCAGAGAAGGGCTCTTTGAGGCAATGACACATTTGAACTGAGCCCCAAGTTGGTAGATGGAGCCAGACTGAAGATCTGGGGGAAACCAATCCGGGCACAGGGAATGACTCGTGCTGAGGCAGTGGGGTAGGAGAGTTCGTTGGTGCAGCAACCAGAATGAGGCCACCGTGGCTGGAGAGCAGCCCAGGAGAGGTCAGTGAGGCAGGTAGGGGAGACCATACAGGACCTGGGAGGCCAGGGCCACGAGCAATGGGAAGCCATCAGAAGGTTTTAAGCCAGAGATGACTTTGGCAGCTGTGGGCAGGAAGGGCCGTCGGCACAAGTGTGGAAGCAGGGAAGCCAGTTAGGAAGTGTGTAGTTGCTCGGGCTGGAGGCAGCAGGGGCTTGGCTGTGCCAAGGTGGGTGAAGATGGAGACACAGACTGAGAACGCCTTACGAAGGTAGACCCTGTGGACTCCATTCGAAACCTGTCCTGAGTACTGATCATTCACCATGCCTGGTGCCAGGTAGGCCCCTTTGCATTTTCCCTCATTCAGTCATTCAACAAACTTTAGCCCCGCCTGCTCTGCCCCCACCCCCCAGCGCTAGGCCTGGGAGGGCCTGAAATGAATCTCTGCCGCCAAGCCAAGCGCTTGACTTTGAGACGGCGTAAGTTGGTGAAGAGTGTCTTATTTTATCTCTTCACCACATCAACAGAAACACTTCCCCTTCCAAGTGAAAACATTGGCACGCTCTGAACCCCAAGCTGAAGCCCAAATGCTTCGTCAGGCTTCGTGCGCCGCAGAGGCTGTTCGAGCAGAAGCACCAGGAAGCGTGTCGCAGGGACACCGTTGCAAAGCTGTCAGAGCGCAGGGCCCAAGCTGGGAGGCAGGAAGGCCCGGGACGGGGGAAATACTCGAGCCTGGAGAAGCCACGCACAGCATTCCTACTTCCCGAGTCCCAAGTCCCGGCCCAGGAGGCCTTGGCGCCGGACCTGGGAAGCCCAGACTCGGGTAGGGGAGGGTACGTCGTAACAGGAAAAGCCTCTGGGAAAGATCTAAAAATGGTCTGACTGCACCTCATCTGTGGGCCCCTTTCTGTAATCAGGGGAGCATCAGTAGTCAGATTTCTTTCCCTCTGGCTTGCCCCCATGCGGACGTGTGACAAGGTCACGGAAGCATTGACGAGGGTGGAGGGCATGCCGGGCAGCGGGGTCTGGGGAGGACCTCGAGGCGCACTCCCTTGGTGTGTGTGTGTGTATGAACATAATACATTTCATCAAACATCTGTTGAGCATCGTTGGAAGGAGGCAGTATTAGGTTTGTGTTTAGGAGCAAGAACCTGGTTCAAATCCCATTCCTGGCTGTGACCTTGGGTGTGTCACACATCTCCCTGCGGATCCGTTTTCTCTTCTAAAAAGCGGGGGGGAATGAAATCAGTCTCGTTGTGAGGATTAAGTGAGATATATGTAAGGCTCACCGTCCTTCCTGTGTGAAGTAAGTGATAATATTAATGTTAACCATTGTTGGAATTAACAGATATGATGGAAAGTGTATACGCTTAGGCCCTTGCAAATGTGTAAACCTGCACGTGCATCCCTGCATGAATATTTATATTCCACGACCAGCCACGGAGGACTGCCTTCCTGGCCTGGGACCCTCAGGAGACCTTTCCCACTGCCTGTGGTCTCCCCAGGCCACCAGATCTGGGCCCTGCAGAGCCAAGGCTCTGCAGTTTTCCTAGAGCGTTAATCACTGCCCAGCAGCAGGAAGTGGGGCAGCCGGAGCCCCCTCCTTCCCAGGAGAAAGACCCCCGCGGCCAGCCTGGAGCCAGGGAAAGTCCTCACATCCCCGTGGTCCGAGGCAGAGGCAGTGCGGTGGATTGATCTGTCCCTGTTCCTGGCACAGAGGGAGGAGGGCTGTAGGAGAGAGCGAGCCTCTCTGCACCGGAAACGGAGAGCCTGCAGGATGCTGCTGTCAGTCACTGGGGCCTGGTAGAGCTCAGATATGGAACGCGGGTAACTGGACCCTTTGGTCTACTTATTACAGAGTCTCCAGGCTTCGGTGTCCTCACGGGGTGCCACGGCCGCTCCCTCTGGTCTGCCTGCCCCGGTCCCTCCGTGCTAGTCAGCAGCCTGTGCCCTGAGCAGAACACGCAGGCCGGCACGGCACTGCCCTGCGCAGAGACCCAGGATTTCTGCAGGGACGCTGACAGTAGCTTCAGGTCACAGCAGACCCACCCCCCCAGGCCACTGCTGGAGCTCCTGGGGGGGAAAGGGGGAGGAGGGGGTGAGGGCAGATGAGGGAAACCAGGCGGTCTCCTGTAGCTGTGGTCCAGGCAGGAGACAGGCGATGGTGGCCAGCGGAGGCAGGTGCACCCGAGGCTCGGCCGACTTGCCCCTCTGGACACGAGAAGGTGTTCAGCTCCTTGGCCCCGAGGCACACAAACGGGGGTTGCATTCAAGGAAGACCCTCAGTGCTTGTGTCTGTTCTGTCGAACAAAGAAGGGTTCCTCTGACCTTGACCGCTCATGTTCCTGCTTTCTCTGCCGTCTTTCCCCCAGAACTTGTGAAAGCCCAGCCTGCTTGTGGGAAATGAAGATCATGGTAAAAGGGACAGGCAGCACTGTCCCCATCTCACAAATAAAGAAGCTGAGGCCCAAAGGGGAGGAGGGAGGGAGGGGCCAGAGGTAGCGCTCACTGGCTCTGCCAGGCCTGCTGCCCTGAGGCTCTCGCCCCTTTTTGCTGAGTTTTTTTTTTTTTTTAAAACCTTTCAAACTTTACTTTGAAAGAATTTCACACTGATGCCCAAGTTGCAAGAAGAGCAGGTAGAATCCCCTTGCAGTCTCCACCCAAAGTCACCAGTTGCACGGATTTACGTGTTGCCGTGTTTGCTCCCGAGTTGCTCTGTATGTGCATGCGTGTATACATGCGTGTATACGTGTAGTTCTGTATCTGAGCCATTTGAAAACAGACTGCAGACCTTGTGCTCCTTTACCCCTAAATATTTCCCTGGGTTATTTTCGTAGCCCAAGGACATTCAGTTCCCTGGCCACAGTTTGAGTTGTCAAAATCAGCCAACTTAACACCGATGCGAGCCTATGAGCCAGTCTCAGCCTATGACTTTATTCAGATCTCACCGATCGTCCCAATAGTGACCTTTCACGATACAAAGGCAAAGCTGAGGTCCCAGATCATATCCCAGATCACCCTTTGCCTTAATTGTTGTGTCTCTTGAGTCTTCCTCAATCCCGACGTTTTGGGGGAGTACAAGTCTCTCAATTTGGGCCTATCTGATGTTTACTCTTGAGATTAGGTTCAGATGATGCACTGTTGGCAGGAGCCCCGTGGAGAGGTGAGTGTGTGCCCTTCTGAGTGCGTAGTCATCAGGAGGCACATGACGTCTGTCCCACTGCCGGTGATGTTAACTTTGATCGCTGGGCTAAGG